TTTAGCCTTTTAACATTGTCCATGGGGTTTTCTTGGCAAGGATACTGGAGTGGGTTGCCATAAGCAAATAAAGTTTTTTACATTGCTATCATATGGCATTTCAACCTTAACCTCCAATTTTTTGGCTTTCTGGATAGAGCACTGACATGATAGCTGTAACGCTAGTCTTAAACTGGCAGGTTTGCTAAACAATCTTTCATACCTCTACCATTAAGGGCCAGTTTAGCGTGTCCAGTATGTAATCTTTAAGAGTCCAGAAAGATTAATCAACTGATGATTTTGGAGAAAGATCCAAGCATTTAGATATGCAGAAAATGTTTATAATACTGTACCTGTGTTTTAGTACAGCCATCACACTCTGACCAAGGACCATATGGATTCCATCTGCAATGGACTGGAGAAATGCTACTGGATGTTATATATGGAAAAAGAAAAATATTGTCAGTTATTGCAGCATTGAGGGAAGAGATGTACCACAATAACAGGGTGTAGGTTTTTCATTGAAAAAGTTCTAGATTCAGTCCTGGTCTGGGAGAACCTCCTGACTAAAAACTAAAAAGTTGCTGTCAGTTGGTCTTAACTCTAGCTATTTCTAGCCTTAACTTGAGATTTAACTACAATTTTCTAGATATTTCCAATGTAACTATATGAGTTCAGCAAGTCTAAAGGCCAGTCAAATAAATATGGGGACAATGCTACAGAATTATTCCTGCTAATCTGGTATAAATATAAAACAATATTTTCCTGGGTTTTAGAGAGCATTTGAACACATGAAGACATAAGACTTGGCAGTGTGTGCATCAGCTCACAACCCCTGGCTCTACCTGTGAACAACTCTTGTCAATAAGTTGTCCATCATTTGTTTAGCCAAACTTAGCATGACGTACAAATGACAGACTCTGGGTTTATCCCCTCAGAAGAAAGCAGTGAAGAAATACTCATTTTTAGTTTATTAAAGCATTTGTTATTTGAATAAAATAATGTGCAGTGGAAAGACAAATGCTAAAGATCTCGCTCAAAGATCAAATCAGAAATGAGGAAATTTGATGACAAACTAACTTCAGAGATGTAACAATAGCATTAAAAAGCGAAAATATAAATGGGCAGGACACACTGTATGCTTACCTGACAATAAGATGGACACAAAACATGACATAGTGATGGCCCTATAATTACACACGCCCATGTGGATGACCTCCTACAAGATGCACTATAACAAGATCTCAGTCCCATAGTGAAAGATTGAACAAAGTATTACTATCTATTGAATTTATTCAGCAATTAACATCCTCTGCAGGTGCAAAATCTTGACTCTCATAAGAACATGGCAGATTTAGAGAGATAGTTACAGTCTCTCGTGAGAAATAATAATAATCTCAAAAATGCTGATAAGCAATGAGCCACATCATTATCATTATCTGAGGCTTATATGTGGCATCATCTAGCAAAATTCTAAACTGAAGGTCTGCTGAAAGAGAATAAGTTATCCAAGATGAACCGTCCTATTTACAGGGTTATTTGTATAGGAATAATCTTCATTTTCTGAATATTCCCCATAATGCAGTGCTGGATCAGAGTTTGGGACAATAAGTGGAAAAAGTCAAGATGTATTTTTTTCCACTACAGACAGAATGAAATTTGGAGATAGAAAATG